CAAGAGGAAGTAAAAATGACAAAGCTGTTTTGGCGGGACTTCCCTTTAAGTCCCATTATTTAATACTTATACTCGGTAAACAGTTCAGTCTTTACAGCAGCATTTCCTTAAGTCCAGGTGTACCCTGGGATTTTGAGTCAACTGAGCAGTATTGTTTTAAGATGTCACCATAAAACCTAACTTAATCTAAAGAAAATGAAAAAGAAATTGTTTTAAGAAAATAATACACAGTTTTTGTGAAGTCAGTGGCCTTTAACTCGACAATACAGTCAAAGTTGTCATTGCCTTTATTTCAGGTGATATAAAGGCTGTTTTTTTCACATTTGAACACTAGCATGCCTTTAAGTTTGACAAGTCTTGGGTAGAGCAGGGCGATGTGACCAAAAATATTTATCACGATATACATTTGAAAATTTGCTATAACAATATAACGGACGATATAATTGACACTAGACAAAGTACTTTACAACTCCACAACTTTATTAGTGCAAAAAAACAAACAAACCATCAATGTATTTTCACTTAAACAAGCAGCTGTTTTTTGTGTGCATTAAAGTTATATAAAAATTTAACAGTGCAAATGCAAATTCCTTTCTGACAGTTTAACCAAAAGGCATTTCCAGTGGAAGTTGGCCGACATATCCTCAGCATAACCATGTATAATATCCACAAAACTTAAAAAGAGGTTATACACACACAATATGGTAATATTATGTTGAAGCACAGTACGTATCACTCCGCGAGGCTCCTGCCTACGATAGTCGTAATGCTCCGACAATCCATCAAGCGGTGCGGGTTCGTAGCTTAGCAAAGTTGTACTAAAACATTTGACAGATTTTCAAGCGCAGTGTACGACATAAAATCGTTTCAAGGTCAGTAAACACAACCAGAATTCATACATAAGGCACACGGGATTATAAGCGGCACTGTCGATTTTCAGAAAAACCAAAGGATTGATTTTAAGTGTGCCGTATTTTCCAAAAACAAGGTAATAACGACGGCCCGCTAGCATGCTCTAGCAAAAATAGTGCTTTGTTGTGTATCTGACAGACGAAAGCTAAACCAGTTCCACACCACTGAATTTGCAGCATTTTTACAAACCAATTCTGGTTCATCCGTTTCATTCAACGATCCGCTTTCGCTCTTCTCATTCTCTGTCACCGCCATGCTTTTTCCGCCATGTTTGCATGAAAACAAAGGCACTGCGCATGCGTGTTTTACCCATATTCTATTGCGATATTTCATTTTCTTATCGTTGCCCAACATTATACTGGTATTACCGTGAACGGTATGATATAGCCCAGCCCTAGTCTTGGGCACATAAAGTCTACAGTCTAAGGCAGAAATAAAAACTTTTGCTGTTTATTTGTTTTAGGTGGCAATTTTCTCAACTCCTATTAAGAGCTTTTTTGTTGGTCATGAGTGAGCGGAGAATAACAATAAACAGTTATAAACAATAAACTGTTATAGATGCACTTTGGTATTGTTAATTTTTTCCACTTTTTTAGAAGTGCTGTCATTATTTTCATTATTTATTGGGACACCTTATTTCACTCTTCTGGTCAGTATTTATAAACAGTATATAATAATTTAATGTGTGTAGCACACTGATGTAAGTGGAGGCATATATAAACATGCTGACGAATTCCGATCAATAATAATTGACTATTACTTTAATTGATTTAATTGATAGTTGTAAAATGTAAATAAATAAATTAGACAGTAGTAAGAAATGCCTCTCGACTCTATGGTGCCTTTCCATATATGAAAATTGTCTACTCAATGACCCACTCAAACATCACAACTCTACAAAGGTGTATTATGGCCACATTAAGAAAACATATTATTGATCATTTTGAGAATGAGGTGAGAATTTTGAGATTAAAGTCGTAATTGCATTTCGAGAAAAAAGTCAAAATGTGCACACTACATATGTTCTTTCAAGATAAACCGTCACTGCTGCTATAACCTCGACAAAAAGCCTTGTGTAGATGAGTTAATGAAACAAATTGGCATCTTGTGAGCTCCTCCAGGTTTGTGTGGTTTTTCCATGTGACCAGATGCAGCTTTCTGAACCATCTTTTGAATGTTCTTATACTTATCACCATGCTGTGTTTATGTGCTAAATGAGACATCATTTCCTTCCTTGTTACTAGAAGCGATTCTGAAGTGCGATTTTTAATGCAGTTGTCAGGAAACTACAACTGTAAATAATCTCCACATTTTGACCTTTTTCTCAAAAAAGTTCAAAATGTGTATTGACACTGGTTACTGACAATTTACTACTTAATAATAACTAAAATTGAGCCCTGCATGCTAAAGAAGAAAGTATAACAGAAAAATGAAGAAACATGTCAGTGTTCACTCACTGATAACTCCCCATATAGGAAATACTCAGTGGATTTCGCAGTGTTGAGCAGTGGTTTGACATTAGGGGTGGGGGAAAAATCGATACTGTGTAGTATCGTGATATTTTGTTTGCTAATAATGTATCGATACAGGGACAGCAGAAATCGATATTTTGTTACAAACAATTTTTTCGTGGACTGGAACATGCTCTGACTTCAGAGCATGTTGATCAGCTCCTTTTTCTGAGCAAGAATCCTGACATTCCTTCACTGTCCAAATGTGTTTAACTTTTTTTTTGGCAGCAATAAACATGACAGTTTATTTATTTTAATGAAGTTTAAAACTTTTTTATTTAATGTAAAATTATAGTTTGTTTTAATTTACTTTCAAATTCTTCAGTTGCTGAATGGGCTGCATAGTTTTCATAAATTGCATAGTTCAGAATAGCTATAATTGTACCAGATGGTTGCATTCAGTTAAGTTGGACTAGACTGTAATACAAACCGTTCAGTTTATAAAACTGACTGAAATGAGAGAAAGACTGAGTGTGAGTCTTTGATATTAGATAAAATGAGTATTGATAAAGTTTACCTTTATGTACAGAATTTGCATATCGCAAAATATTTTTAAAAATTGCAATAATATTGTATTGTGCGTTAAGTATTGTGATAATGTCATATCGTGAGTTGTATGGTGATTCCCACCTCTATTTGACATGTTGTGAAATTTCCTCAGCTGGTTGCACCATTATGTATTTTGACATCGCTTTGCCTTGTGGGAGTGTTAGTAAAAAAGGATGTTCGTAGCCATAGACTGACTGTTTTTCTAGCCCTTTGCCACTTTTTCTCTTTTTTTTTTGTAGATTGAAGTTTCATTCGCTCAGGCATAAAAGACATATAGGTTTTTGGATTTCAAATAAAACAACTTTTAAAATAATGCATACAGTTTCTTAAAATAAAGAAACAGCCACTCCCTTATCTGTTTGCGGAACGATCATGCTGACTGTGGTGACCGCAGTGAGTCATGAAAAATTAATGCTGTGAAACTGTGTGTATTTGATTGGCTAGTTTCTGCGTCTGGTTCATACATTTGTCTTCTCCCTTTCAGTTCGAGTAAGATTTTAAAATTACTACCTGAATTCTTTTTACTATGGTTGCTGAGTTGTGATACTTCCTTGTAAAAGGACTTTGGTTACACCTGTAGACACTGTAAATAAGTAAACTGGAGCCTCATGGTGAGTGACCTGTGAGTTTCAGCCCTATTGTGTTGCTAGTTTGCGCAAGTTTTTCTTGATTTTCAGATCAGAGTGGCAACACAACTAGTGCCTCTGGCTGAATAACAGACATTCGAATAGTTTCTGGAGAGAGCTATTGAAAATCTATTCAGTACAATCTTCTATATCTTTTCAATGATAACCAATTCTGATGAGTGTTGTGAACTCTTTTGATTGATTGATTGATTGATTGATTGAATCTTTATTTTGAACATGTTGAAAAAGTACAACAAAATAGAATTAAAAGAGACAAATGAACAAAGCAAAACAAAAGGAAAACGAGCAACCACAACTCCAAATAACGTTCATGTTCAAAAAGTCTTAACAGCACAGTTGTCTTGTACGTTAATCTCACAGTCTGATCTGCCTGTTGATTAGCTCTTCAGTTGTGAGAGCAAGAGAGCCACCAAATTTTGCCACAGCTTCCTTCTCAGGAAACATGAAGTATACTCTCTTCTGAATTTCTGTGACTTTCTGGGCTCTGCTTAGCTTCTCTGTTCACTCCTTTATATTTTGTCCTACACCAACCATTAGCTGTTTGTTTGACTCAGGCTCAAATATTTACATTGGTGGAGCCAACACAGAAGGATCTACAGTAGCAGCCAGGTCTTAATATGGATAGCATAGCAAACATGTGACTGACACTGAGGCTGGAGAGGTATCAGGTTGTCATACTGGTATGAAAACATTTATTTTCCCTTAAATGTTTCAAATATTAAACCCCTACAATAGTGAGCATACTGTTGGGAGCTGAAGTTGTTCTTCAGGGACTCCCAGTGGTATCTCCAGCCACAATATATTTGTTTTTGCCCTCGCCCATGTGTATCAAGAACAATAAAAACAGGTTAATGAATAATTTAATCTTACTCACACCTTATACAAAAGCTTTAAAATATCTAACATAGGTCTACATTTTACAGTTTAGCAATTTTTATACTGTTAGTCATTCAAAACATGTTTGATATGGCAAATAAATAACACCTGTTCTTATATATCTATATATATATCTATATATATATCTATATATATGATATATATATTATATATATATATATATATATATATATAGATATATATAGATATATATATAATTATTATTTTTCTTGAAAAAGTGCACAACTGAACAATTGTTTATCAGAAAAGTAGCAGGACTGAGTTAAAAGGGAATAAAAGTAAAAAGAATACAGTTTGCTCAAGGACACAGCTGATTGCGGTCAGACATTAGTGTTTGTAAAAGATCGAATGAATTGCTCTTATCACCCAAACCAGACAGTGACACTGTGACAGTGTCATTGTATCATCTGATCGTTTTACATCCGCATTCAGGGACTGAAAAATGTTGCAACTTCCTCTTTTGTTTTAGACCTTTCTCATGTTGTTTGCTTCCATGAAATGAAAAAGTACAATAATATAAAAATCAAATTGATTTAATGATACCATAATCAGATTTTTTTTTTTTTTCAATCTTTAAAATTTGTAGTAGCTATATTAAGATAAAAAAACTTGTCTTGGGAAATTTGTCCCCCCTTGAGGTGGCTGTAGGAGGCAGAGCAGGTCCCCTACTGATCGGAAGGTTAGTGATTTGATCCCAGGCTCCTCCAGTCTGAATGTCAAGTATCCTTGGGCAAGATATTAACCCCAAGTTGCTCTCCAATGCATCCATCTGAATATGAATGTGTATGAATGAAGCTAGGAAGCACTAAGTATAAAAAGAAAGTGCTTGTTTGAATGGGGGTGATTGGGTGACTGTGGCATGTTGTATAGAGCGCTTTGAGTACTCCAGGAGAGTAGAAAAGCTCTATATAAGAATCAGTCCATTTACCATTACCCCTTGGCATTGCTGCCAACTGTCAGAGAAGGTTAACATACACCTATTAAAGTAGTGGTATTCACCCTCCATAACTGGCACACAGGTGTGACACTTTCTAGATTGATCCCTATCACAGTCAAGTACCTGGGTGTATAAAAACACAAGTGTATTTGGTACAGTTTTATTGTTTAGCTGCTAATAAGAATCAAATTATTGTTGCTTTTCTTTGCTATCATACTTTTGTCAAATAGCCAAATAAAATATTACATTACAAATTATAAACCTTTCCCCATGAATTCACTCTAGCCTAACTTCTTATTCTTGCAGCTATGTGGCCTAGCACTGATTGTGGTAGGAATCATGGTTCAGGTGTCGCTTAACAAAACCCTCAAGATCACTGATCCCACTGCCTCGGCAGCTCCCATTATCCTGATCGGAGTTGGTGTGGTGATTTTCTTCATCAGCTTCTTTGGTTGCTGTGGAGCCTTCAAAGAAAACCACTGCATGGTCACCACGGTAATTCACACAGCACCATATGCAGTAACTTTGTTTTTGTTAACTTTTTTGCATGAGATTTCATTGTAAAAATTGCTGTTTATTTGTGTGACAACCACTCAGGTAGATCATTCAATTCCTCATTCGTTCCTTTTCTCCTCCCTCAGTTTGCTGTCCTTCTCTCACTGATTGTTATCGTTGAGATTGCAGCAGCAATTGTTGGATACGTCTTCAGAAACAAGGTAAGTGTTGAATACATCTGTTTTATGTGAGTCCCTGCAGAAGGTGTGGTTTTAATTTGAGCTGCAATGTTGTGTGTGTTGTGCCTCCCGTGTAGCTCTCAACTATCGTCCACGATAGCGTCACTGAAATGATCTCCAAGTACGAAAATGGTACACCAGAATTCAAAGAGGCCGTGGACAATCTTCAGCATAACGTAAGTTCACTGTAAATGTTCCTGTTCACTGTTTGGTTAGTATGGTACCACCCTGTCAAAACATTTTGCATCCTGTTGGTAAGTTTCGTGTGACAGGATATTGTTGCTGTTTGCACAATGTGTTCTATATCATTTTACTCTACATCTCAAGTTCATAGCTGTTGTTCATAGACTTGTTTGCATTTTCCAGCTGAAATGCTGCGGTGTGAACGGTTCTTCTGACTGGAAAAACTTCACTAGCAAAGGAAACTCTGTGCCTGACTCATGCTGCAAGAATGACACTAAAGGCTGTGGAATAGGAACCATGACTGACTCTGACAAAGTGTATCAGCAGGTAAACAGGGGTCAATTTCTTTCTAAGTTTATTTAACCTGAAATTCACTTTCTTAATTCTTAAGTCCTGTTTATTTAGTAAAACATCTAAGTTATCAGCATGTTGCTTAAATAGGTAAAAAAATATATATATCTGGCAAGCTAAAGAGACATACAGTAAATAATTGTTACCAAACTGCAACTGGATGGCATGTAAATATTAGAAACATGACTCCAGCTGCGTAACAGTCTTGCTTTGTGCCAAGCACACAAAAGGATTAAAGGATTTGGAACTGCAAACTCATCTGCTAACGACTGATTGATATGTTGTTAGGCAATGAGTGCGCACTAGTTAATCATCCTTTGTGAATCCAGTAGTGAGCATAATTTACAAAATGGACTTTGTGCTATTAAATGAGTGTCTGAGGTCATAAACTCTTAAGGAAAGTGTTTGAGGCTACAAAGCAAATAAGCCTAGTGCTGTTTTCTCACAGACTATACAACTGGCAAACAGAGTACCTCCAAAGTTAAATCTTTGAAACAAATTTTCCACCAGGAGATTAGTGACTAAAACAAACAAACAAAAAAAGATTTACTGCTTTACGTGCACGAGAAAATGGTTGAGGTAGCTGCTCTCAGTGTCACACTATGTGATTTGTAGAACCTCAAATGTGGAAGGAGGAAAGAAAAACGAAACGGCAAAAAGCCCACAAGCATACAGAGTGTACTCTGAGTTAACCTTTCTCAGACACAGTGGAGATCAATTCTAACTTTTCTGTTTGTTCTCTTTAGGGTTGTAGTGCTGCTATGGAGACATTTCTAAAGAATAACATCTTATGGGTGATAGTAGCAGCGGTTGTCATTGCTATCCTGCAGGTATGTAACACCATTAAACAAAATTTGCTCTTAAACTCAAGAGTCTATCAGCTCATTTTATTTTCCTTTGTTACTATGGTAATGTGTTGTTGCTCATCTTGCTTCTGGACTCTACAGACTTTTAGTTTTTAAAAAGTTGTAAACAAAAATGATGACCGTTTTCTCTCTTCCTTCCAGTTACTCGGTATTGTGTTTGCCTGCTGTTTGATCAAAGGCATTCGGGACGGCTACGAAGTTATGTGATCGACACCAGAAGAGGAGTTGACTGTTCGGGCTACTCACAAAGTTCTTCACTTGGATATTTTAAAATGTTCATCATACTTTCCACATAATACGCAGAATATAATTTTCTTCATACAGATAATATTTTCATAGTTAATGGCTCTGCTTTGATGCTGTACATGGAATGGAAATGGGGATTAATGTACAGTGTCATATTAGCATAAGTGAATGTTCTCTCTTAACTTTGCTTGCTTTGTTGTAAACGTGAGTTTATTTTGGTGTTCCTGGATCTGTTCTAAGCTTTGAACTGCTTTGGTGTTTATACGTCGTACTGGGTTCCAGTTTATAATTTTTTCATTAAAGACCTTTTTAATTTCATCTGAATTTTCTGTATAAAGTTATACAGGAGGAAAATGCACCTTTAAGATTTTTATTTCAGACACATTTCCAAGATATTGTATATAATATTGGCACAACACAACACTGAACATTTGCAGAGCAAGTAATAAAAAAAACCTTAAAAAAACATAACATAACTTTTGCATCTTCTATTTCAGATAAACTCTGTGTGCTCTTGCAAAAGGCACAGGAAGCGATGGCATGTTCAGTTTTACACTTACACAAGTCACCAGCAGATACAACAGGAATTTCCTCTTCGTAGGAGTAACCAGAAAGCAGGCGAAGGGCTTACAACAAATTTTGCACTTAAGTTAATGTCATTCCAGCCTTTCAAAAAAATAAGAAGGTAAACAATAAAGTGATATCTTGTCAGAAATGTGTGCTGTGCCACAAACCAAAAACTTTGAGAATGTGCAAGATGTTCAGCATCTCATCACACAAGCAAGCTTCAATGACTTTACAGCTGGGCCACCAGTGGGCTTTTTCTTTACATAGTTACTCTCGGGGACTTTCATATTGTCTACTGCTGTTTGACGTCAAGTTATAACGCCTCTTCATCTCCACATTACCCACCACAAGTCCTGTTACCCACAACCTTGATCATGGTAAACAATATTCAAAGTATATAAAAAAAAAAGCACAAAGTGAGGTACTGGCATGAAAGAATACAGGACATGTTTGATGTGAAATGTAAAAACAAACATGCCCATCTTAATGTAATTCTTTTAAATGGAATGTCTGAGCATATCACCAAACAAAAAGAACTGCTGAACTTAAACAGTGTAATAACATGTATCAGTTCACACATGCAAACAAGGTTCACATATAGCAATAGATAATCATGACATTACTTCCACATCACCAGTATAGCACTGGTGTCTAATAGATGACAATGGATTCATCTTGTTTTTAAATGCTATTAACTGCAACTGCAAAGACTTCTTTTTTGTGGTAAATCCTTTGAATAGAAATGGTTTCTTGCCAAAAACACCCTTAAAATGTTTCCTTTCCAAAAAGGAGCTGTTGAAAACCTCTTGGAAAGTTTTGCTTTTCATTGCACGTAAGAGTATAATCACAACAGCAGATAGCATGTGGCTTCCTGTCAGTGATGGCTGGGACCACTTGGGTAGTTTGCAGAGAGAAACACAATGCTGTGCAAAAGCAGTGACACCTCTGAGTCTGCAAAAATGAAAGTAAAAAATACATGCTAATGTAATAGCTATAAAAGAATCATGCAACATTTAGGAAATACTTAAAAGGTCTTTTAAAGCACCCCCCAAAATGCTTTAAATATAACTCAAAGCCTGATCTTTAAGTCACAAAAGGTAGTGGATATTTTGTCTTGACTATTGTACATAGAACAAGTAGTTCCTATATTGTTTAATGTGTGGAGACAATGTGCATTTATTACATTAGCTAGTTAGCAGATTTAGCCTCTAAACAATTTTTCAAGCCTCCCGTTATAACCTAAAAGAGCCAAGATTTTTGTGTCCGGCCGCTACTTAAGAATGCAGAATATCTTGATAAAGCTGATTAAAAAGATAGACAATAGCCTGATGGTTTCCAGATGCATTTTGGCAAATGCAATCCCTCTTGCTCTCATTCTGAATTGTACTTGGATTAAAAGCAAAGCCTGCTCAAATGTAATTGTCAGCAGATTCTGAATTATGAGAGAAACAAAAAATGCTGTTAGTGTCAAAAAAAATCTTATTCCTTGACTTGGCATAAATCTGTAGAGCAGCAGATTGTGCACTTATCAGGCTGTTCACACTGCTTTGTTAGGGCCATAAGCTGTGCACCAAACACCTCCTCTAGAAAGTTCACCGGCTCATCATCTAGGGTCATGTACTGAACAATAAATGCAACATGCACAGGTAATGCTGAATTATATTGAATTTTGGTTCCAATTAAATGCCCTTTCAGATTAAGTATTTTTTAAATGTTTAACTTTAGAGTAAAGTCCTGCATCAGTGAATGAACTGAGTATTAACATTCAAGTACAAACAGACACTTCATATTCAAATAAGAATTAACTTAAATAATTTTCTGTTCTGTCACTACACGTGTTCTTGAGTGAGACCGTTTCTGGAGCTACTTTGATACTACTGCAGTACATAGAAGGAGAAAGGCTTGGTTACTCTTCATAAAGATGATTTATATGTTAGATAAGCATGCAGTATATTTCATCAGCCATTATCTGCAGGGTGTTTCATTTGTTTAGAGTGCAGGTGTTGAACTCCAGGCCTCAAGGCCCGGTGTCCTGCAGGTTTTAGATGTGTCCTTAATCCAACACAGCTGATTCAAATGGCTAAATTATCTCCTCAACATGTCTTGAAGTTCTCCAGAGGCCTGGTAATGAACGAATCATTTGATTCAGGTGTGTTGACCCAGGGTGATATCTAAAACCTGCAGGACACTAGCCCTTGAGGCCTGGAGTTTGACACCCCTGGTTTACCGAAACAAAAAGTGGAGTGCCATCTGTTGGAATCATGTCAAATAGCAGTACAGACTCATTCCACTCATTTGGCTACAGATACACTGGAGTTTAGTAAAACTGGAACAGAGATGATCTGTGGGACAGTCTAAGCCTTATACACTGATCAAAAAATTAAAGGAACCCCTTTTAGGAACACTTACTTCTGGGATGTTGATCTGGTCAGTTAAGTAGCAGAGTGTGTTTATAACCATTTTCAGCTTTTTTGGTGCACTGGAGGGGCACCAATGAGACAACCATGAAAATAGGAATGATTTTACCTCATGGGGGCAAGTGACGTTTTTACCCTTCTCATCTTTTCTGACAGATTTTTCACTCGATGGCTTGGGTCAGTCTCACTACTGGTAACATGAGGCAATACCTGGGCCCTATAGAGGCTGCACAGGTAGTCCCACTTCTACAGGATAGCACATTAATGTGTACAATTTCCAGAAGTTTTGCTGTGTCTTTCAGTGCAGTCTCAAGAACAGGTGGATTCCAGGGGACAGGCTGTAGAAGGTCGTTAACCCATCAGCAGCACCGGATCGATTAAATTTTGGCAAAAAGGACGAGCCTGTTAAATAACTTTTTCACTTTAACTTTCAGGGTGTCATTAAATTTAGCCCTCTGTAGGTTGATACTTCCATGTCCATCACACAGTATGCCATTCTTTCATTCCTAACATATTACCCAGTCCACATCAATATCTAGCACGATTTCTTTTCGGATGTCCTTTCAAAGTGTTTTTAATGTTTTTGAGCGGTGTACATCCAACAGATGTGCTGCACTTCAGCTATCCACAGCATCCACAAAGCACATCAACTCTAAATTGTGCTCCACATACACATGCATAAAGCCAGAACTTTAGTTTAGGCTCATATTTACTTACATTTTGAACTATTATTTTGTTTTATTTTATTCCATGGTTTTTCTGACTCATTATGGACATTTTGGGGCTGACTATACAGGTAAGCACAGTAGAAGCAATCAAGTCTCAGCTACTTTATTAGGGAGAAATCTGTGCAATATTCTGTCTGGGAATTTCTCTTCACATAAATCCTCTTAAGGAAACAGGTAAAGTTATTTTTATTACAATTCTGGTCATTTTTCTTTGGCTCTCATCAAAGTCTTTAGGGTAGGTGACAGAAAAAAAGAATCTATACTGCAAATCCAAATAATAATAATACCTTTCAATGAGCTTGACACCTGTAGCCACTGGGACAACCATTCACGACACTGGTTAACACCAAGAACATCAGCATTGAGGCCCCTTAGATAACAAGCCTGAAAGGAGAAAAACATCAAGTATTTATAAAATGGCTTAAAGAGGAAGGCACTCAGTATATAAAGTCATGGAGAGTGATGGACCTGTCTGAGTTCAGAGTCATTCAGCTGGTGAACGCCCAGTCTGCTGAGGCCCCGGTCCAGTTGGAGCAACTCCAGCCCGTGGCTGCTTAGCCGCTGGCCAATCAAGAAGCCGGGGAGCCGTGGCGTCAAGAAGAGCAGCGGGCTGATGTGTCTCTGATTAGCCATAAAAACATGAATACGAAGGCTTTACTAAGCCTTTTGCATTCCTGTTAACTGAGACAGAAAATTGGAGGAGTTTTACTGACCATGTGATCAACGCTCATCCTCCTTATACCCAAAGGAGGTCCAGAAAACAGGCTTCGGATAGCAAGGATTTCAGACGCTTTGGGGTTTGCTCCACTTTGGACCTGAACAAATATCAAACATACATGTACTGGTTAGAAATTAACAGATCTGCAAATCTGTACTGTTTCACACAGTTCACAGCCAAACTTTGTGGCGTTTAGGCACCATCATGACTGACTCCTGCAATGTTTATTAAACTGAAGAATGAGAACTAGGGTGCACTTACTATTTGTGCATCCATAATGAACAGTTTAAAATTTAACAAATAAGTTGTAGTTTTCTAATGAAAAGAAATGACAGTTATCCTCGCAAACTGGCCAAGTATCCCAGCTATGTGTCCAACGTTTGAAGTGAAAAACTGTGTGAAAGAATACTTAGCAGAGCAGAAAAACAATGCACTATTTTTAAACCACTGACAATTTAGAGTGAGGATTTCCATTGTCTTAATAAGAGGGGGGATACATTAAATAGCAAGTGAGGAGTCAGTTTTCACAGTCGACATGGAAGTGGGGAAAAAATTGGACAGCATAAGAATCTCTCAGACAGAACTGTAATGGCCAGAACACTTGCACAGATCATCTTCAAACCACAGGTATCAGGTGTTTCCCCAATAAGCATGGGTTAGTACTAGAAGCAGGCCAAGCACAGACAAGCAACAAGATTTCTTGGGTGCTTACAAGATTATAAGCACCCAAGAAAGCTGACAGGACACATGCATGGAGCACAATAACCACAGACAGGTCATAGTGCGCATGCTCTCGGCTCTCCACCACTAAAATCTACCCAAATCATCAGCTGGATAGCCTTTAGTGATTATGCAAGTGCAAAGCTGGGTTATTGAGCAAGGGAAGAAGATGGATCAGTTTGATGAGTCACATTTTCTCTTACATCATGTGCACGGCCAAGAGGATGTGTGTGCGTGTCCTTAACTTTGGAAGAGTGCTGGCAGGATATGCTACAGATTTAGTGCAAGACAGTAGAAGAAAAGTGATGTCTGGGCAATGTTCGGCTGAAAAATCTTTGGTTCTGACATTAATGAGGATGTTACTTTGAGACATAATATCTAGTTATTCCCTGATAACTCGTGCTACATTCAGGAAGATAACATTGTAAGGGGCCACACTGTAAAAACTGTTCGTGAATGATTAGTGTACTTTGCAAGCAGAAAGCAGTACTGCTACACATTCCCGATACTTACTTTTGCACACAGGTCCTTAAGTTGTCTCTGTAAGTGACCATTTTTGACCTGCTGACTCGTGCACTCAAGTCCTTTGAGCACCGGCCAGTGGTGCCGAGCTCTGAGGGAGTGGTACACTCTCCGAAACTCCAGCTGCTGGCTGGGAGTCCAGAAGTGAGGGATCAGGAGCTGACGGGGGAAGAAATACCTGTCGATGCAGGAGGAGGTGTTGTTAGCAGAGTGAAGCACAATAAGTGACAGAAAATGATTAATGAACAGGGACAGCAACATAAATAAGCCTGCAAATCAAATGAGATGGTTATTTCAAGAGGACTCACATCAAGACAAAAACCAGGTAGTTGGCAAAGGGAGGGATGGATATGATCACCAGCGGGATGGCCTTGATCAAGTCTCTGCGAAACTGTCAAACACAAGTCAAGTGAGCCAAGTTACTGTGAGACATTACAGCCCTGAAACACTGACAATGCATAAACTAAAAATACTACACTGCCATAAACACAGGAATTGAAACTCTACCAAAATCTACACTAATTTATGAGAATGGGTGACTAAACGCTAATCCCTCCCCTTAAAGGATGCTCTGACAGTCCTCACGATTATGAAATTCTTTTTAAATACCATTAGTATTTATTCAGAGCGATAGCTCAGATTGAATACCTGACGTACAAAGTCAGAGAGATGAATCGGCTGAGATGTGTGGAGGGGAGAAAGTGGGATTATCGGGAAAAGGATGCAGAAGATGAGGCTGACAAGCAAGAAAAAAACAAAAGAAAAAGGAGCTTTACGGTTGTTTTGACAGGAAACGCTGATGGTTGGCATGAAAAGGGAAGATTTAGAAGACAAGAAGAGTTGGAAACAGACATTCCACTGAACTGATCAAAAAGAAGAAGCTGCCAAAAATAAATAAGAGCATTGCTTACATCAGCATTACACATTTTTCAATGCTGATAAAGTAGATGACCTTCTCTACCTCCTGAGGCATGCCATCCCACCCCTTATGCACCTAAAGTGCTAGCATCTTGATAAATCCTTACGCCTGTTAACCTAATATCAGACAGAATTAACTCATTATGACCGGTTCAAACAGTGGGTGTTTGTTTTTTCTTTTTATGGTTGATTTAAGCCTTTTCATTTTAGGAGTTTAAATTAGAATATATTAATTTGTTATTTTGATCTTGAATTCTGTTTTTCTGTCTATTTATTCTTTTAATGAATACAAACTGATGGCTGCACTAAATAATATAATAGTTTATTTGCCTTTAAAATTTTATACAGTTTTGCCAATTAGTGTCAAAACAAAATAGAACTGGTTTTATTTGTGTGCATGGAGATGGTGTTAACCCGACATGAATTCCCATTGCCGGTATTACACTAATAATACTCCAATCGATAATCTAAATAAAATAGGATTATATTGGATTTTCTGTGACAAAATGCATCACATTTTGGTAGATAACGTGATAGAAAACGCAACTTTTTTTTGCTAAGAGTGAATGTATGAAGGAAAGGATTTTTAAAAAGATCCCAGATAAAAAAAAGCAGAGGGAATTTCTATACAAGGGAATTTCTTTTTGTAACCAGGGTTCGCCTCCTGCTGGCCATTAGACAGAATGCAGTCAAAAGAAAATTTTACACTCAGAAGCAATAGCATCATATTAACAATCAAAATCAAGTATATTCCAAACTTTTGCAATTTGAAAGATTAAAAAAATCAAATAATTTTTTTCTGACTTATTGCAGATTTAATAATAACAAAATAAATGTAATTATATTTAATACAAATTTAATAATAATCAAGAAATTACTCATTTTCACTGAGCTATAAGCAGTTTGATTCCCTCCATTTCTAATATGTGTGGAAAATTCTGATATTTCTGTGTGCAGTGTGGTAAACAGACCCACCTGTCTGAGTTTCTCCATGTCCCTGTAAGGCAAATCCTGGAACTTTACTCCATCAGACCACATTTTTCCTTTTATCCTCCTGATATCTTTGGCATCTCGGAACAGTAGCTTGAATCCTGGAATGAGTGACAGAAAAAATTGTATTAAATATTACTGTAGATTTAAAAATTTTATTTGACTCTTAGAACAAAGTGCTTTGTAGCATTCTGTTTATTTAGACACCAACTCCTTAGCCTGCTTGTACTCTGTAGATGTTCGCTTTAGATTGGGGCCACAAAATGATGTAATTATATAATCATTTGTATATTACAAACAGTATGTAGTATGCAATGTTTGTTTGCTTGTTTAATGCAGTTTTAATAGAGTAAAATGAAAATTTGACTTGCAAGACCTGAAAAAAATAAGCTCGGGTAAGTGATGGACAAGAACAGTGTTTTCTGGATATAATGCTGCTGATGGGGTGATGTTTGAAAGAAGACAACTGGACTTCTTTAGGTTTTTGAAGACATTTCACCTACCATCCAAAAGGCTTTTCAATTCTAGAACAAAAGCAGACACACCTATACAGGAAGTAAAGACCCTGAGGACCCTGATGTTAGTAGACCAGGTGAAACGATCATATTAAGGCCATGGAATATGAGAAATCTGGCTATTAAATGTCTTATTTTAACTCCAGATTCTGATCATGAGTTGGGTCTTGAATTCTCTCTCTCTCAGCAACTTTCATCTTCAAAAACCTTCATATATAAGGTGCCTATGTACTACAGCAGCCTGTTTCCTGGTCCCTAGTCAGGTTTCCCAACCTCATTGTTGGGCTAACAACACTCACAGGGCTCTCCTGCAGTTTTTTGGAGACCTCAGGAGTGAGTAAACCGTGAGCTTACCTTCCACGAAAGTGTGATAGAGCAGAAAAAAGCGGGGAAATCGCTTTTTAAGGAAATCTTCATATTTGGTATTAGCCCACTGGAGTTTGGAGGCAACATAACGAGCAAAACCTCGTCTGACTTCGGACGATGAGTAGTGTCTACACAGGGGCAGTCTGTCAGAGAGGAAAGATATCTGTCATTAAAGGAATAAAATAATTGTTTGTACATTAAAGAATTAAACATGATTACTCTTTATCGTTGGGGTATGCACCGATCACGATATAATAATTGCTCTGATGAAAATATCAACAACGTACTTTATTTTCTATTTTAAATTTTATTTTCAATATCTCTTATCAGCCGGTAGGTATAGCTAGCTTAGCAAAGGTTTACGAAACACGAGTAAAACAAAAATGATAAATGATGGAAGCGACGATGTTAATCGGCTTCATATATACCTGAACTGACAGACCACGTAGGGAGAGTAAAGACCATGTGTTATCCTGTTTCTACCGAGACGACAGTGTCGGATTAAAGACAGTTGACTACACAGACTCGAACAGGACAGCGCCATGTTTGACAGGCAGCGCACTTACCGTAATGACGCTCATATACAGCAAAGATGAAAGTGAGTCAGTTACCGTAATGGAAAAAAATGGTGCCAGGGTAAATATGAGTCACATGCTACTAAGTGTGTAAAATGATGGCAAAAAATAACCTTTTTTGTTTTATAAATGTAAATAAGCATTCTAAAAACACTGACTCTTTCATATTTTAATGAACCATCTATTCACAAAATAAAACGTCTGCTTTAATATAAGAAAAATATGATATGATGTGATACAAATAGCTCCAGTTACAAATAAGTATTTTATAAGTATATTCCATTTTGTTGTTTTTCGCTGCTCTAATACAATAATTTCTAACCTTTTAAGATCACTAAAGAATTTCAGATTTTTTCTTATTCTTCATATTACTTCTTTGCCAGTAGCTGTGTACTTTTACGTTAGCATTTTACTTTGAGTACTGGAATTTTACATGTAATCAGTAGTGTCTACTGTATGTACTCTTACTTTTGCAGTTCATTTAATTTGGCAATTCTTCCAAAAGTCAGTGCAATTTAATTAGCATGTTTTATTGATGCTATTTATCATCTTTACTTAAAAATGAGTGGGTACTTTTTGCACGGACAACTAATTTAATTAGCTGCTTCTTCCACCAAAAGCCAGAGATTCAGTTTGCACATTTTATTGATAGTATTCATACTTCATATAAAAATATTTTTTAAAAAGAAAAAAGGTAAAATCGGCCCTGCGACAGACTGGCGACCTGTCCAGGGTGTACCCCGCCTCTCGCCCTATGACAGCTGGGATAGGCTCCAGCGCCCCCCGCGACACTGAAAAGGATAAGCGGAAGCGAATGGATGGATGGAAAAAGGTAAAATCCCCGTAGAGCTAATAAAAAAATTTTAAGTGCTAAAAATCACGTGACTCTTCGCGAGATTTAAAGAAGTGGGGCGGTTCTGGTTGTTTGATATCTTTTGAGAGAAGCGGTTCTCTTTCACGGTAATTTTAAACTGCTTCTAGGCTTTATTCGAACCATTTTCTATAAACGTTACAAAAGTTAAGTGCATGTGTTTAAAATTCACGTGTTAGTGTCTCAGGCAATGTGCTGAGTAGCTAGGCAACTTTTTTGCTAACAGACTTTGGAAACAGGCCAGGTCTTCTTGCTGCATATTTTACGGTAACGTTTGATGAGCTAGGTACTGTGTAGCGTGTCCACGAGTTAGCTCTGTGACTTATTTTAGCCATAAAGAATGGCTTTATATCAGTCAAACGTGAACATTTGGTCATCATGGGATGTTTAATCAGGTCAAAGAAGAACTGGGGGTGTAGGAACCACCTGCACCTATACTGAGATACAAAGAGTTGGGGGGGAAAGAGCTAGCTTCATTCACTAAGGTCACTCATGTTTCTGTCTTTGTACACACATTAGGAGTATTTTTTTTCTTCTTCTTCTCTATATTTAAAAGTAATCCAAACCAGCAGGCTAAGTTAAGCTCACTTTGGGATAACAGAAAAATATTGCACACCTGCAGAGCTGAAGGGTTAATGTGGTTATGCAGCTTGTGAATGCTGTGCCATGTGTTGGCATTACCAAAGTGCAAGCATTTAGCTTACACAATTCCTGCGTGTCTATTTGGGGGTGGGTGGTTATATTTTAATTTAAACTGTTTGCCTGCCCACAGTAAATTCCAGCTACAGATGGCGAGCAATTTCGTAATTGGAAGCACCAGCAGTCCCTGCAGGACCTCTTCTGCAGAGCCAGCACAGCTGGTGGAGGAATATGGTGAAACTTTTTTTTTTTTTTTTTTTTTAAACATTAAGGTGTTGTCAGTACTTTAAATCCTAAGTTAATGCATTTGTTTCTTCCCCCCCGCCGCCCTTAAAGATGGGAAAGGAAACACAGACCCAGAAAAACTTCTTCAGTGCCCTTTTGATAAAAACCACAAGATCCGGTCCAGCCGCTTTCCTTACCACATCATAAAGTGCAGGAAGGTGAGTCAAGTGCTAGTATCTTTAAAATTTTAGGTTTTAGTTGTATTTTCTTTCTATTTTACATTAGTCTGTCAAATTGAGTTTACTCATTTTAGTTTTGTTTTTTAGTTTCTGTAGTTCCAGTGATGGTTTTAATCTTATAAGAGACTTTGGCCTTGTTAGATGTTGACAGCAGCCATTACAATGCAAACATTAAATCTTGGAAGGGCCTCTGGATTTCATGCAGCTGAGTTAAACAGGATCCTATTGAATAATCTAACCACTGAACCAGCGCTTACAATTATTTTTATTCAGCAGAACATCAAAACGCTAAAGTAGCCAAATTTTCTCCACTGGTGGATGAGGGAGAATAAAAATTGCTAAGTGGCGAAGCTGGTACTGGTCTTGAGTAATTTCCTGGCTTGAATGAAACTTTAGCCATGATTGAAAGTTTGATTGTTTATATAAACTCTCTGCAGAACCATCCCAAACTGGCGCGTGAACTGAAAACCTGCCCTTTTAATGCTCGCCACCTGGTCCCCAAACATGAGCTGGCTCACCACACTGAGACCTGCGAGGACAGAGTTCCTGTGGACATGGAAGAAGGTAAGACTGCTTTTCTCCTTTTTTTTTTTTTTCTTTAACTTAAATTTAATCATGTTTAACATCGTGAATATTTCTTATTTTACACCCCTGTTACAGATGGAAGTTCAAGTTCAAATGGACCTTGTAACTGGCATGTCCCAGTCAGCACTTGGGTTAACCCAAACATGACTGAGGATTGGGATCAAGGTATGACTTATAACCTCATCATCTTGGTATTGGCACAAGGATGACTAACCCTTACCTGGCTGTGTGAATCAAGCGTTAAAGTGCTTTAGACTCGTTTTCCTTGTAATGGAAAGCTGAAGACAACTGCTCCTCCTGCTTGAAGCTTACGCTCACTTGATCTGTGACCTCTGTAAACGCTTCATCTGGGTTAATGGTCTTGGTTGCTAGTTTTAGTAATTATTACTGAATAAAACTCTTTAACTCTGGAAGATTGCTCAGGGCTGTTGTGATGAACTGCTACTGTGTAAAATGTGAAATATCCCATTTCTCACCTAGGTCAACCTTTTTCGAACCTTGTGTCTGAAAACTGCTTTTCCCCCTTCAGTTTCTGACTGTTAAACAATACTTTCCATTTTAAGAATGGGTCTGGGTCTAAATGCACCTGAAATATAAACTTTTTGTGCTGCACCCTGAGACATTGAGACAATACTTAGTGAAAGTATTAAGGTAACTGTCCCATCTTGCAGAGGCAGATAACGCTGCTCCTTCATTTGTGTGGGGTGAAACCAAAACCATTGGGCCAAAGTAAGTCAGCTCTTCCATCAGTCTGAATCGGCTAACAGTAGTTTTTCTTTGTTCTCTAACTGTTGTCTCTCTCCCACCAGACAGGAAACAAGACCCACCAACAATCTTGGTCCAACGTTTAGATCACCCAGTGACATTCCATGGTCTGGTTTTTAAGCTATAATTTGTATTTACTGCATATGCAAGCATGTTTAGGCATTTCCCTTTTTAAATTTGTTTTTAACTTTTTTTTTTTTTAAAATCTCCCTCAATGTGACTCATGCCTTCTGCCAGATGCAGACTACGTTGATGTGATATGTCCACTTTTTTTTTCTTTTTTTTTTTTCGTCGCATCTAGCATCCTCACTGTTTAGTCAGACTGCATTGTTGTTTAATAAAGCTGTTTACGTGAGGAAACTTGAGTAAATTCATTTTCAGTCACATGCTATGCAATGATTCAAGATGGTTTAAAGGCAAACTTTTCAAGTCCTATATTTGCAGCACATCCTATATTTGACATCAAGTCACAAGGTTTGATTAAACACCAAAAACAGTTGGTGTAGAGCAGGGATGGGGGAACTGGAGGCCTCAAGGGCCTGTGTCCTGCAGGTTTTAGATATCACCCTGGGTCAACACACCTGAATCAAATGGTTAGTTCATTACCAGGCCTCTGGAGAATTTCAAGACATTTTGAGGAGGTAATTCAGCCATTTTAAACAAACTGCTTGGTGTAACATGAGTTGTGTAGTGGCAATACCTTTTATTTATGGCTATTCTAGTTGTGCAGCATGCATGCGTGCACTTATAACAGCTTGGAACACTTTGACTTCAGTGTTGCTTTGATTGGTTAGCATTCAATATAACGCACCCTGAGGTAGCTGTGTTTTAGTACTATATAAAATTGAGTTGGAATGAGTTCTTGGCATAATTTCATCAAGGTGCTCCACGCATTCCTCAGATTTTGAGTGACATGACTGCATCACAGTTGCTACGCATCCATGACTGGAATTTCATGTTCCGCCACATTGCAAAAGTGCTCTACTGCAGCGGTCCCCAACCTTTTTTTTTTTTGCGCCAAGGACCGGTTTATGCCCGACAATATTTTCATGGACCGGCCTTTAAGGTGTCGTGGATAACTACAACAAAATAAAACTAGTGCCGGTACCGAAAAAAGAAAATTTATTCATAACACACGTGAAAAGACCCAGGAAAACAGAGTAAACGATAAAAAAATAACGCTGAAAACAGATTTAAAAACCCTGAAAACTATACATTTCACACCTGAGCCTCAACTCTCGCGGCCCGTTACCAAACGACTCACGGACCGGTACCGGTCCGAAGCCCGGGGGTTGGGGACCGCTGCTCTATTGGATTGAGATCTGATGACGTGGAGGTCATTTGAGTACAGTGAACTTGCTATCAAGTTCAAGAAACCAGTTTGACATGACTTAAGAGGTTTGCAAAGTCCTGCTGGGCCTTTGTGTGGAGTGGTTGGATGTGGTTGTAATTTTTAATAGAGGTAAAATGTTTGGGTTTTTTAGCCCTTAAATATCCTGTGGATCAGGGCTCTTAAACGCTTGAAAATAAAATTAACTGAAGTAAAAACCTAATTGTTTTTAGGTTTCAACTGGTCTAGCTGTTGGTTTGAGGTGAAGTTGAATTTGTAGGTACACGTCATCCTCTATTACTCTTTCCACTTTTCATAATGCACCATTGACTGTAAACCATCCCCAGAGCCTCACCTTTACTCCTTCAATCATGCCTCTTGTCATTGTGGCTAGATAGTTCTGCCTTTGTCTAATCCAACCATAAAACTTTTCTCCAGAAGGCTAATCCACGTGGACAGCTGGAAATTTCAGTCGAGTTTGAAGGTGTCAGTTTTGGAGCAGAGGTGTCTTTCTTGGCCAGCACCTTCTTAGACCATGACAATGGTAAACTGATACTGGTTTCCAGTTCATGGCAGGCTTCACTCTGAGTGATTCCTGGGTTGTTCCTGAACTTGCATACAGTTGTCTGAACATGCTCAATCATCCAGGTAAGGAGATCCTGAGGACAAGTTTGAACTGTTTAGAAACGGCCTTCCCAACTCGTGTAAATCTACAATTGTCCTTAGATGTTAACTGAATTCCTTGGACTTTCACATTGTGCTGGGTATTGGTCAATCCAGTAAGTGCTGTCAAACAAATCCTTTTTATTCTGGCAAAAAGAAACTACCAGTTGTAGCCAATCATGATCAGTAACTAGAAGATAATGTGCTTTGGCCCTCATCATGTATTAAAAGATTAAAGTGAATATACGTAAATATTTGATCCTGTGTGGATTATGCAGAACCATTAAAAGGCCAGAGTAACATTCATACCCAAGATCAGTCTGAGCACAGCTGTGTATTAACTGTCATTTTCTGACCTCTGGATGGCGCTATTTGTCAACCTTCTACATTCATTCTTTCTCTTTACGTTCTGTCACTTTGACTTCATTATCACACATCGATTCAATGATCTTCTCTTGTCGGACATGTTTAACATGTGGCTTTTCCAGGTATAAAGAACATTTCTCTCTTGACATTAACTTTGTCATGCATCCAAAGCTGCTGCATAAGAGTGAACGTAGTTGCAAGTGTCACGATAATCCAAGTGTGAGGGGCAGCATGCCAGCCCACTCTGTCATATCTAAGTGGCATTATTGATTTCATGTGATGACTGTCTATTTTAGTTGTGACTATTATTAGAAATGTTCACGGGGGCGCTAAACTGCTCTGTGACCATCTGTAAGAACAGGTGACTGAGTAAAGAAAAAAACGTGAACCCTTCACCTCTAAGGCGAAGTGATCTCTCTATTATGCAGTGAGGGAACATTTTGTTCTAAGGTTTCCTATTAGAGGAAAGCATCTCTACAAAGCAATAAAAAGTTTATAGTACGTGACCAAATTTGTTATATTTCTGTATTTCTGGGATTGGTATCCTACAGAATGACATTAACTCCATCCATGGACATTCACCAATCATCTGATGAATATTAAATTGATGTTAACCATTTTAGCTAACATCAACTTAATTAAATATGTTTGACCTTTTGATGACAACCGTCATCAAAATACCAAATACGGGAATTTCTTTTTTAGGATTGTTGTACAATCCCCAATCCCTACCAGTAATTTTCAGTTGTAGAATCCATGCCAAGGATCATTGAAGCTGATCAAGCAAGACACGGTGTCAACACCTGACTAAGACACTTGATGCTGTTTTTTCCTTTTATTTTTCATGCATCTGTACCCAGTCTGCGGGACCTCTGTTCTATATATTAACACAAATATGTTTCAATGAGCTACAAGAGCTGCTTATGGTTGTGTTACTACTTGTATGACCACTTAAGGTGGAACATGAAGATGCTTGTATTGATATAGATCTTATAACCTTGCCACTAAGCAGGCTTAAATGTCACGGTGCCCTTTTTAAACCAGCCAATGATGTAATTGTGTATTATCAACGAATAACTGCTAGTAGGAGCCCATGCTGTCTATTTAAATAACACGTTATGTGACATAAAGTGTCTTTAAAAAAAAAAGGAGGTAAACTGAACTGAGCCAGTATTATAAATAGCTCTTCAGATGCTCTCTGATTTCTTAATACCGCGGGTGTTCGTATCTGAGATTTTATGAGTATTTTTAGAAAGTGATTTTATCTCAGCATGGAAGAAATCTTCAGATTTTTAGTAGTACCCTGTGCTCATTGCCGTGGTTGTGCATCAGATACATATGTGATTATTTCAAGGCTGCCAGTTTATTTAAAGACATCACAGGGAGGGAGGGTGTTATGTTATGTCAAAAAGTGGAAAAAGATCCGTTCCTTAGTTGAGAAGTTGGACTGTGTTAAAACTTTTGAAAAAGAAGGGTCTTTATGTGAAGAATCAAAATGTATTAGATTTAAAAGTAGAATTAAAAAACGGAAAGTACCACAGTTGTAAATACTGAATTTAACTTAAACATCCTGAATGTTTATTTTTTCATCTGTAGTAACAAGTAAAATTAAATTTGTCATACAAAATTGTCATATGTATCACAATTTTTAATTTCACAATTACTGTAACCAACAGAACTGGTAAAGTAATCAATGCTATCAGTTAAAATCATCTTTGTCTCTGGTTTTACTCTTTTTTTTTTAATGGTAGGTTGCAGTCACCAGCTCTATCAGCTACATGCTGACATGTTGGAGTGACAAGAGTATATTGTATCAGTTCATCTTGTGATACAGTCTTCGATGCACTGGCACTTGAAGTTACTTTTGGTTGCTGCCTTGTTTCTCATTGGGAGTTCACTGCTTCGTGTCTCCTTCCAGGCTTCAGACTGGGGAGCATACAACTAACCAGAGTCACTGTTTTAGGATTAATTGTGATGATGCTAATGAACAGAGTAAAAATGATCAGAAGTTGCAAAATAGCGAAAAAGAAAGGGGTACCATTAGGTTCAAAGTCACCATACAAGCCTCCATACAAAGAGGATGTAATTTGATGTGCAGGTGTTCAACCGTATTTAATTTCATTTTCAACTCTTTAGGAATTATTCATAAAGAAGTTAATATTCAGTTCCTTATATTAAGTTCCTCATTTTCAGAACCTCAAACGTAATTCAGCAAGCTAATATAATTTTAAGTCATGGTTTTGAAGTCAATAACTGTCTGAAGACTGGAAAACCACCAATTCTTCTGTGTCCTCCTTTGAGATGCTTTGCCAGCCCTAAATTGTTTATGGGCCTCTCTGCCTTTAGGTTCATCTTCAGTAACTGAAAAGCAAACTCTGTTGGGTTGAGATCAGGTGACTGACTTGGCCACAGAAAAATATCTAAGTTCTCTGCTTTGAGAGAAATTAGATTGATCGCTCTTAGACTGCCTTTGCACTTTGCATTATCCATTTGCAGTTTTAGAGCATTGGCTGAATCTGAGCAGAGAGGACCTTTCACAATTCATCCTTCCATGAACAGTCACATCATAAGTGGAGATATTATCTGAATTTCAGGAGCAGGATCACACCTCATTCACGCCCCTTCCGGCCTCAGGCTATAAGCCCCTTCACCAATACCTGCTGTTCTCATTTTCATGCCCCACCCTTCTCCCGCCCCTTTTTTCTTCTTTTTTCTAATCTTTCTTTCATCCACTTCTCGTTAGTACATGGGGAATGGGTAAATGACTGGATGTAGTGTAAAGCGCTTTGGGGTCCTTAGGGACCGCAATACAAAGCAATACAAATACAGGCCATTTACCATTTACCAGTACACGGTTCCTCATCCATCATCGATCATCGTCACTGAGGATGTGGTCCCAGCTAGTGAGATAAACACTAGTGACCCTGTTCTGCTCGCAGCTTTGCATGTCTGTGCTGGAATATTGCTTACACTGTGTTTGACAGATAATGTGGCTTTTA